TTGAACCATGATCCTCAGATCTCAGCCTCCTGAGTAGCTAGGATTACAAGTGTGAGCCACTGGCACCCAGCTTGTAAATCAAAGTTTTTTAATGTAAATCATGGGACAGCTAATGTTAACTTAGAACCACTATGGAAAAAATCTAATAGTCTTCATAGCCACCACCCTTTTTTCTTTTTTTTTTTTTTTTACTGTGAAAATACCATACAGAGGGGTTACAATTACATGGGCAAGGTAATGATTACATTTCTTATCAAGCATTGTTTCCTCCTCCTTTGTTTCCCCTTCCCATCTCTTCCCATCTTCCCCCCCACACCCTAACCACCACCCTTTTCTTAGCTACTACTCTATTCTTTGCATTTCCCTTCCTCTTGGCTCCAGTTTGATTTTCCATTTCCTCACCTTCTTAATGTGTCCCCAATCCACATTTTGACATACCCATTAAAAATTAGTTTTGGCCAAAATAGGCCAAACATCTAGGATTCCTAATTCTTCATTACCCTCCTAAGAGTAAGAGATCAGAAAACCCTTGCTTAATTTCCAACCCACACCCAAGGCAGGTTAACATGGTAGGCAGGACTTACTTGTTTTCCATTTTATATTGTGGTATAACAGAGATCTGTGAGGAAGGAGCTAGGTACAGGTAAATTCATCTGTCTCTGCTCTGTAGCCAGTCAGATACCCTTTCTGTATGTCTGCATCTTTACCTGTGAGAAGCCTTGGTACTTGGTTTACCCCCTGAAATTTGATGACTCAGGATAGGAACAGCTAAGTTGAGTATGAGCCAGACTGAAAAAGAAGGTATAGTGATTAATTGGCAGGTTTTTATCAAATTTCTTCTGCATGCACATAGTGTGCACTAGGTGCTATGTCAGTTTATTCAGTCTTGCTAGTAACCCTACAAAGCAAATAGTTAAGCCCAATTATACAAATGAAGACATTAAAAATTAAGTTCAGATCACTTAAATAGTGTATCCAAATTCATAGAAAAACTACCTTTTATTTCTCCTACACTGCCTGGGCAGGTAAAGGACAGGAGTTTGTAAAGTCATTGTTCACAACCCAATGGCAACTAGGCTCTACTAATTGCAGCTTCAAACACCAGAATTTATTTTTTTTAATTTAATTTTGTTTTATTTGTGAACATACTGTACAGAGGGGTTACAATTACATGGGCAGGATAATGCGTACATTTCTTACCAAGCATTGCATCCTCCTCCTTTGTTTACCCTTCACATCCCTTCCCAGCCTCCCCCCTCCCCCCAAAAAAACACCAGAATTTATCACTGGCATTCTTGGGCTATTAACTGTTGATTTTTTAGTCATCTACCAAATATTGATTCTTGGAAGAGTATCTAAATTTTGAATTGCTATTGGTGGGGTTAAGAGGCTGTTGCAAAGGAGATCAGGCAGATAGCTGCTCAGTCCAAGCCTGTCAGCTTACAGCACTGTACCTTCTGGGAAGAAATCAGCTCAAAATCCTGAGGAGCTGTGGAATACTAGTTGAGCTAGACAGAGGCTATGGGTAGTCTAGTCTTCCTTTTCCTGTGCTTGTGACAGGCTCAAAGTTTGCTCTACTTTGTTTTATATTGGACATGATTTCCATATATATTTCCCCCTGCTCAATACTGTGATGAAGAAAAAGCGGTGATTTACAACCAAAGACATCCCCTAACAAGACATTCAGCCCCAGACAGTGCCTCCCTACCTGGGCCTCACTCAGGTCTTGATTTGACTCCCATTTTTTTCAGACTTCTCTCTCTCTTCCTTTCCACTTCTAAGGTCTTTACTCTTTCTGTCTAGTGAAATTGTGAGGCTTTGTAACTTTGCATTGTATACATCCATTTTCCTTGGCTCAGTTACATAATGGACATGTGCTTTATGGTGATAAATCCAGACTGAATGCCAAGAGTCATGAGCTTTCCTGCTGACTCAGCCCCGCTTCCACAACTCACTCATAAAATGGGGAGTATAAATCAGTGCCTGTTTCAAAGGGTATGGTGAGAGTTAATGAGTACCTGTTTCACAAGTTATCCTGCTCTGAAACAGTCTCATTAAATGGCATACTATTTCTGTCCATTTCTATAGTAGCCCTCCCCCCCTTCAGTTATATATTTAGAGTAAAGTAGCAGTGGCAGAGGTGAGGGCATTTGACAGTGGACTCTGAGCAGGTTAATAAATTCCATGCCAAGGATATGGCCATGCTTAGAGGCTAGGAAAGGATCTAAGAGCCTGTGAGCAGGTGAGGCCTGGAGCTGCTTCATAGTATGACTCCTGAATCCTTGTTATCCTCTCTGGTTAAGCAGGTGGTGGCACAGTGGTTTTCTCCTCCTAGCAGGTGCCTAGGGAGTCTCCTCTAGGGGACACATACTTCTATCAAAGCAGTGTCATTGATTTTCCTCTACTTTTTAGGCCTCTTTGACAGCCCCCCAGGTTCAGATGATGCAAAGCTGATTGATATATTTTATCCTGGAGATCAGCAGTCTGTGACATTTGGAACCAAGTCTAGAGTAGGAATGGGTGGCATGGAAGCCAAGGTAAGATGGGTACCTGAACTGTCTGTAGCAGTCAGAAAGTCCGAACAGTATTTATCCTTCTTACTTTCAAAATGGTTTGCAGATTAATGGTTCTGATATTTTAATTTATGTACATATCTAAATGCATGCTTACTGAATATTGTGTAGCTATGTTAAATCATCTGAGTATGTATTTTTATTACTATTATAAACTCAAGGATAGGGGCTATGTAATGTTCAGTTTATAAATAATCTATCATCAGCGCAAATACTTTTTGAAATTTTTCAAAATTTCTTTCTCTCCCATTAATTGTCCTAAGAAGCTGCATGTCTCAAGGCCCAGAATCATGTAGCAGTGGTAGTGATGAGAGCAAGAGCTTCATTTGAACAACCAAATAAAAAAAAAAGCTAAATTGACTTAGGATCAGACTCGACTCAAAGTCAGGGCTGTTCATTGAGCTGCCATTATTTTAGACGTAACAAAATGCAGAAGTCAGGAGCCCTGTACTGAGAGTCTCTAAGGAGAGGTTTCACCCTCAGTCAGTACCTGATAGGCTGGCCTGGGAAAGAATTTGAGCTGCACATCTTTTCACAACTTGTGAGCTGTTAGAACATTGCTGTGTTAACACTCAAAATTAAATTGTACATATTTTTTTTGTGAGTTCAAAAATGTGATTGGCTGGGTCCGAATCTCTTCTTTGACTCAAACTTGTTCCTTAGGTGAAAGCAGCTCTCTGGGCTTTGCAAGGTGGCACATCTGTTGTTATTGCCAACGGAACCCACCCAAAAGTATCTGGACACGTCATCACAGACATCGTGGAAGGCAAGAAAGTCGGCACCTTCTTTTCAGAAGTAAAGCCTGCTGGTAAGTCATTCTTTATAAGATTGCAAGGCCTGTGGGTGATAGGTAGTAACGCTGTAGCATTAGGATAGAGATTGCAGAAGTAATAATGTCGTGAAGTCTGGAATTTTCAATACTGTTTTCAAAATTGGATTTTGACTAACTTTTGTAAACTTCTGACTATCCTGTTTAGTTAAGCTTCCTTTCCAAAATGACTAGGTTCAAAAACAAGCTTCCAGTTTTTCAAGAAACATGCTGTCTGGGCTAGATACCCCAAACTAGTAAGCACTAGTGATACAAAGGTGTGTAACATATGGTATGTGCTTGAATTTCTCTCATGTGCTCACCAAGGGTTCAAGAAGTGCCTTATGATCTGCTCACAAAGGCAAACACATTAGGACCAGTAAGCTGAGGTGGAGTTGAGAGGAACTCTAAAAGGTACAAATTATGTTGTGCATACTAACAGTATAGGAAAGTTTGTTTATGCCTGAGCTACACTGCCATGTTCTTTTGCCATTTCATTGGCCAGAGTGCTCCCCCCCCATATCTGAAGCAGGCACCAGGACTCAGGGCCTCTTGCATGTGGCAAGCGTGTTGGGTGCTGGGGACGTGAGACAGAGCCAGCTGAGTTCTGATGCACGTCCATATTCTTGCAGGTCCTACTGTTGAACAGCAGGGAGAAATGGCCCGATCTGGAGGGAGGATGTTGGCCACATTGGAACCTGAGCAGGTAAAAAATTTGACCTAGGGTTTTGTTTTCAAAGCAAGTCATGCTTATGACTTAGTACAGCAGTCAAGTCTGCTGACCCTACACAGTATCCAAAGTTATCTGAATTACAGATCTCATTCAGGTTTGCTCTGCCTTTTTTCTTTTTCTTAATCTTACTTTCCCGTAGGTAGATTTTTTTTTCATAACCTGAGTGTTTTGATCAAAGGCATCATGAATATGATGAAACCAAGAAAGCTACCTATTATTCCTGCCATGTAGCAGGCATGGAAGTGTAGGAAAAGTAACTCTCCCCATCCATTGTCTCCCCTGCCTCACCTGTGAAATGGGAGCCTGAGAGCCATAGTTGATGCCCTGCCTAATTGACAACAGATTATCATGAATTAGACTCTAAGCAGCAGATGCAGTGAGGCTTGGCATGGTACGAAAGGCACAGGAAACTCCTGCTTTCTAAGCTGGCATAGGTAAGGATGGGCTTGAGAGTGGTGGAGATGTAAGATGGGCCTGAGAAGGGATAAGAATTTAAATTTTACTGTAAATTGAGAAAGAAAGCAAAGTAGGAGCCTAGCTTTAATCCTTCAGTAATTACCATGTCCTTTGCTACATTTCCCAGTCTGGGAGGGAGAAAGACCTAGAGTCTCTTCAGGCATCTCTCCAGGCTTGGTTTTAGTTTAGTTTTTTTTTCTCCCCTCTTTGATCAACTTCATCAAGTAGTTGACATCAAGTAGTTGTCAATCCTAAATTTGTGAAGATGTGTATATGACACTCATTCCCAGCTCTTCCCTCTATCTTATGGATAAATTGTATAATCTGTCTTGCTCTTACTGCTGGGCCATGGTTTACTAGTTACACTGATTGGGAAGGGTAAAAGATTAAAGGATCAGAAAGAAGAAACCGGGCTATTGGTAAACAAGGGGGAACAGTGGTGGGATATGAACTCCAGGAGGTAAGAGGAGTTTACAGTGGTGACTTTGGCTTTTGGGGCAAGGCCTGGCACTTTTGGGCCTTCTGGTGTGCAATCTTAGTGGATTAATATAGCTGATTGGTTCTTTTTCAATGGTTTGCCTTTCTTCTAGAGAGCAGAAATCATCCATCATCTGGCAGACCTGTTAACAGATCAGCGAGATGAGATCCTGTTAGCCAATAAAAAGGACTTGGAGGAGGCACAAGGTAAAGAGTCCCTTGTGGAGAGTTTCTGTTTTATTTATCTTTGTTGTTGTTCTTCATTTTACCAGTAATTTACCTAAAGGCAAGCTTGTTACAGAAGAAATTACGTTACACATCATCAGTACCCACGGTGCATGGTGAATACTAGGTAACCTTTTTCGAGCTCCTCCTGTGCTAATATCCTTCCTGAATACTTTAGTAAACCCATGCTCTCCCTAACCCCCCCCCCCGACAGGTGAGCAGGGGCTGTGGTAGCAGGTTCAGGACCAGGAAAGGAAATAGTTTCATTGCTTTAGCATTTCAGCTAACCTGCTAGCAGTTCTTGAGGCTGTTCTATTAATAGGCCTCATGTAAAGGGCTTTACCAACAGGATTGCATTTCTATATCACAACACAGCATGTCAGAGGGAGCTACTGTTTATTATTCCTGTTTTACAAAGGGGCAGCTGAAACTGATATGTTGCCTCTTGCCCCACACCATATGGTCAGAGATGGACCTGAGATTCGAGCATAGATACACATTAAAGGGCTTATAAGTATAGTTTGTGCAGCCTATGATGAGTGGTGGGTTCATTTTAGTTCATGAAGTCTAGTTTGAAGTCTTCACAGAGTGAGCACTAGGTGTTCTGGTAGAGTAGGGAGTGGGCAGATGGATGAACTTGGACCACAGAGGACTTAGA